CATATCAATTTCCTTGTTTATATCTATTTACTTATCTAGACACATCTATTCATCTGTCAATCTACCTACCTCTCTATCTATTTATCTATCTATCCGTCTGTATGTATGTGCGGTTTTATGCATGTATCTACATACGTGTATATGTGTATATTTGTAGATATCTATATAAAGTAAACTATATGGATGTATATAGTAATACATACATACATACGTACATACATACACACACATACACGCACATGTATACATACGTACATATATATATATATATATATATATATATATATATATATGTGTGTGTGTGTGTGTGTGTGTGTGTGTGTGTGTGTGTGTGTGTGTGTGTGTGAAAATAGATAGAAAGATCGATAGACTATTTAGATAGCCAAACAAATAGATAGATGATCAGGTACGCAGATAAATAGAAATAGAAATAAGGAATCAAATAGATATAAATATAAGTAGATAAATATATATAGCGATAAGTAGGTATATAGATCGACAGACAGATAGACAGGCTGACACACAAATAGTTAAACAAAGACAGATACAGAGACAGATAGATAGACAGAAAGAAAGATACAGATACAGAGACAGATAGATAGACAGATAGACAGATAGATAGACAGAAAGAAAGATAAGCAAGCACATACATAAATTCCAAAGGAGAAAAAATTATTTCGAGAAGTTCTGAGTAAAAAGTATTTTTCTGTCTCGAGTGACCGCTAATGGAGAAATAATATTTTCAAATCTACTTAAAGTAATTAACAAAAATTACCGGAGTAGATTAAGGCGTAATCTAGACTCAAGGAATAATTGAATTTAACTTCTTAACTCGCCAAGAAACTGCTTTTATCCGTCTTTATTTTCTTCTTACTATTTGTCTTTTCTTTCTTTGTCTTTTTACTTTTTTTTTACTTTCCCATTTTCTTTTGTTTGAAGAAATTGTAATTCGTAAATTTAATTATACTTGATGCCTTCTTTTTCTTTTTCTTCTCATCTATTTTTTAAACATTTTATCTCTATGGTCAGTTATTCCTTTCCTATATAATATATTTATTTAATTATTTTCACATACTTTTTAAAAAAATACTTGCTTATTCATCTTTTTATTTAATTATTCATCTATGTATCTATCAAAAAGAGTGAAGGCGATACGATTCCATGTTTTGCATACCTTATAATAATCAACATTAACCTATTTAATAATCTTATCAGCATTAAAATACATAATAAAACAGCAAAGCAATTACTCATAATCTTATCAGCATTCAACTATACCATAAAACATCAAAATAATTTCTATCGCATTACAGTAGTAAAGTCTTCCCAGGCAACCTCACACAATTAAATACAAGCATCATGATTATTTACTTTTACTTATTTCATTTTTTTTTTTTTATTTATCTTTTTTTTTTCTTCATTTATCCAATCTCTGGTTTCCATTTATATTTTTCTTCTGGAAATGGAAAGGAGTGGGATGAAGGGGCTCAGGGGGAGGGTGGAGGGGGGGGAGTTGTTTATAGCATTAGGATCTAATTAGCTTTTGTCCTAGATATATTTATTTCTTCGACTTTCTCTCTCGCTCTCATTTTTCTCGTTCTCTCGTTCTCTCGTTCTCTCTCTCTCTCTCTCTCTCTCTCTCTCTCTCTCTCTCTCTCTCTCTCTCTCTCTCTCTCTCTCTCTCTCTCTCTCTCTCTCTTTTGCCCCCCTCTCTCTCTATCTATCTCTTTAGCTTTCTCCCCCCCTCTCTCTCTCTCTCCCTCTTTTCAGAGTGAGGAGGTAGGAGGGCGGGGTCAAGGACTTAACAACCTACACTAAAAGACAGTCGAAGGAGGTTTACTCTAATTAGCAAAGAAAAAAAAATACATGACAACAACAAAGTACTTCTTCCCTGACAGTTTTTATTTTACATGATCCAGGTTGAGGCTATCTAATTAAAATTTCAAAAAAACTTATTTAGGAAAAAAATCTTGTTTAGGAGGATTGGAGGAGGTGGGGTGGGGGTGGGTTGGGGGGTTACTCGGAGAAGCATAACAAAGCGATAAAAAAGTATAATTTGTAAGATGATATAAGATCATATAATCAGAAGAGGAATGAGATGATAAATTTGCGTGATTATGTTGATCTTCAGATAAATAAAACGAAAAAAAATGTTTCCAAAGATAAATGATATGCAATGAATAAAATGCAATACTCACTTATTTTTCTTCCGTTGATGCTCTCACTTTGGATGAGAAACTGGAATACGAAAAGAAAAATCAGTTAGGAAAAGAGAGAACAATAAACACATAGATGAATCTAAAAATAAATAGTGTAAATAAAGAGAGAGAGAGGGGAGAGGGAAAGAGAGGGAGGAGTAAGGAGGAGGAAGGGAGAGAGAGAGAGGAGAGGGGAAGAGAGAGAGAAGGACTAGATAGATAGAAGGAGGGGGGGAGGGAAGAATAAAGAGTGAAAGAGAGAGAGAAAGAGAAAAGAAAAAGAGAGAGAGAGAGAGAAAATGAGTGAGACCAAGAGAATGATAGAGAGAATGTGTGCACTTGTATCAGCTTATTATGATTAAAGAAATTCTTCCAACAACAACGATTTCAATTAGAATAAGAAAATAATTCATTATGGTAACGGAAATACCTGAAATCATCAATAAAAGCAATCATAATATTCTATGTTATCATAGCAATCTACACACCAATTATATCTTTTATGGCTATCGTAAGACCTATATCTTTATTATTATATATCTATAAATCAGGAGAGATAAGAAATATTTCTTCCAATCTAATAAAGACCAAATTTGCGAACTCAGCGGCAAATAAATTATAATGTTTGTTTTTCTTTCACTTCCTTTTTTTCCAGCCCTCTTCCTCCCCTCCCTCTCCCTTTTTTTCCTCCATTTCCTTTCTCTATTTCTCCCCCACGCGCTTTTTCCCAATCATTGTTCTCTCTTTCTCACTCACCCTTCTTTCCTTTGCGCCTTCTCTTCCCGCTGCCTTTCTTCCCTCCATCTTCCTCTTGTTTCCATCCCTCTTCCTTCTTCTTTCCTGCCTTATACCCCTCCCTTCCCTGTCCCTCTTTCTCTCTCCCTCCTGCTTCCCCTTACCCTCCACATCCCCTTCCTCAGCCACTTCTTCCTTCCGCACCCCCCCCCCTCCTTCCTCCTTTCCTTCGGGTGTAAAGTGACCGAAAGGCAAACGAAGAAAACCGGAAGGGAGGAAATATCTCTGAGAATTTATTCCTTTTTTTGTTTCTCCTTCCTTTCTTACTCATTGTGTGCATTTGTATATATGGACACACACGCAAAGAGAGTGAGAGAAAGAGTGAGAGAGAAAGAGAGAGAGAGAGAGAGAGAGAGAGAGAGAGAGAAGAGAGAGAGAGAGAGAGAGAGAGAGAGAGAGAGAGAGAGAGAGAGAGAGAGAGAGAGAGAAAGAGAAAGAGAAGAGAGAGAAGAAAGAGAAGAGAGAAGAGAAAAAGAAAGATAGAGAGAACAAGCGACAGAGTAATCAAGCGTGCCCTCCACTACCAATACAAGCACATACATAATCAACACACAAACACCCAACACGAGAGAAAAAAAAGTCAATATTTCCCCCGCGAAGACACGGAAAGATCTAGCAACCAATTAAAGCGACCCAAATAGACACCGAGGCAAAGAGGGCATCAGAAGGCCTCTATAATTACACCAATCTGCCCCCTCCGTCGCTCGTGTTCGGAATTCGAAATCAAACACTTGAGGGGCCAGTCTTCCTCCTCCTTTGTCAGCTTGGACGAGGCTGGGAAAATGTTTCGAGAGAAGAGGGGGGATGAGAAACGAGAATTTAACCGAAATATATGAGAAAAGCAAGAAACATATATAGACATTACATATATGTATGTTTGCATATATATATATATATATATATATATATATATATATATATATATATATACATATATATACATGTACATTACTTTCTCTTTCCTTCTCCCTTTCTCCCCACTGTCTCTCTCCCTTTCTCAAACACCGTCTCTCTTTACCTTTCTCTCGTTCTCACCCTCCTTTATTTCGCCTCTCTCTCGCTTTCTCTCTTCTTCCCTCCCTCGTGCTCTCCCCCTCCCTCCCTCTCTCTCTCTGCTTTCCACCTTTTTCATTCTTATCGTTATTCTTCGCAACCACTACGAATTCAATGTTTGATAACGCACCCTGACAATGTGTGTATATATATTGTTTTGGAATGTCCCCAACGTGTATAAAGCTATCTTGACTTTAGCTTCAAGAAAAGAGTTACACAGTGAATGCATAAAACTTTGGACAGCGCCATATATATTTTCCCTCCTTTTCATATACATTTATTACTTTCACTTATCTTAAATGAAGAAAAAATAAGTAAATATATTAGAATATTAAAGACATACTTACTGTCCTACAAGGTTCGTATATAAAGATAGTAATATAATAATGATAAACATCATCTTATTGACAAGGACGATAAGAAAAAAATATGAATAATTCGTTGACCAAAAACTAATTAGCAATTAGATGGCCTTCAAAGTGGCCCTTTTATGTATTTGAAGTGACACCTTAGCATGCATGAGTAACGCCAGATATTTACAGTACGAACTACAATTTTGATCCTGCAAAAACAAAGAAAGGGTATTTTATCGACAATCAGACAACACTCACTAAGTGAACCTATAATGAGTGAGAGATACATTGAATCGATAAAAAGAATATTAACCACACATCGAGACAGTCAGTCAATCTATTGGACAGTCATTTCATCAGATAGAGAATAGTAAGCTACTAACTCAGTACCTATAAGTCCCCAATTAATTAATCAGTAAGATAGCCAGTCAGTTATCCATTCTGTTCAATTAGCCAAACAATCAGATAATCAGTCAGTCAGTAAATCGGTTAAATCTGTTCTGTTATTCAACCACTCAGTCATTCAGTCAGCCAGCCTGCCAGTCTGTAGTCAGTCTAGTGGGTGAGTGAGTGAACGAGTCAGTCGGTCGGTTAGCCGGTCAGTCAGTCAGTTTAGTCAGTCAGTCAATCAGTCACTATATCAGCAGCCAGTTAGTAAGTCAGTGTCAGCAGCTACTAAGTCACCATGGGTCTGCTGAACATTGAAGTGAACAGTATACTCTATAAACACCTAAATTTCCGACGTCTACAATTAGCTATCAAAAGGAAAATTAAAAATAATCGTGAGTACTGTAAATATCTGGCTTTACTCATGCATGCAAAGGTGGTGTCACTTCAAGTACATAAAAGGGCCACCTTTGAAGGCCATCTAATTTCTAATTAGTTTTTGGTCAACGAATTTGAATCTTTTTGGTACAAATGTTTTGGGGTAATTTTAAAACAAGGATTTTTTTTCGCTCAGAACGTCTTTGGAGTCAAATTACGCGTTGAAAAAAATTTGGTCTGTGACAAAAATGTCCCAACTTTACGACGATTGTTACGACGATCGTTAAGACTTAGAATGTAGTTCGAAGTTGTAAGTTTGGGCAAAATCGATCTCTCCCCCTCTGCCCCCTCGGCATTGGTCGGAATTATGGCAAAACAAGTCGGTGCTCTAATTTCCAAACCATTTGCCGGTTGAAGTTTTCACTTGACACACTTTTTCATATCATGCTAGAGTCCCAATAAACCAAAGGGCGTCGCGTGATAATGTTTTAGAGTCGAGTTGAGGGCGTGGAAAAAGCGCGAAAATTGTATTTTTTTCTATATATCTTATTATTGCGTTTTGGTAAGCGGTTGATAATAGTAATAGTAATAAATATTAATGAAATCAATAATGATGGTGGTAAAGCGGATAATAGTAATATTGATAGTAAGAAGAATGTTATAATGGCAATGTTAATGTTGATGAAATGTTAATGATAATGTTAGCGTCAATGAAATAATATAGTTAATTATCATGAATTGATAATGTTAAGGAATATGTTATTTACAGCAACGCGCGTAGATAGAGGGAAATGGACTTCACCTTAGTTTAACCTAAGTGGGGTCGGCCATTCGAGTACGCTGCCTGCAGCGTACTCGAATTGGTCTGTTCTGGCTCTCCCTTACAACGTGCCATCATCATCCCCGTTCACCTTGACTTTGGAAAACATGTCGAATTTTACTCCATACCATTCAGTAAGCCTACACGCACAATTCTCTGCCAGGTCATTTCCGATGTCTTTTATCAACATCAGTCGCATTCTATTTCTTGCTCCCCAGCGCTGGCTGTTCCCTCCCCCTTCCCACTGATTCGCTGGCTGTTCCCTCCCTCTTCCCCACGCTGGCTTCTCCTGGCTGTTCCCTCCTTCCTGCCTTCCCCAGCGCTGGCTGCTTGGCTGTTCCCTCCCTCTTCCCCAACGCTGGCTGTTCCCTCCCCTTCCCCAAAGTGGCTGTTCCCTCCCCCTTCCCCAGCGCTGGGTTGTTCAAGCTGGCTGTTCTCCCCCTTCCCCAACGCTGGCTGTTCCCTCCCTCTTCCCCAACGCTGGCTGTTCCCTCCCCCTTCCCCAAAGCTGGCTGTTTCCTCCCCCTTCCCCAGCGCTGGATGTTCCCCCTTCCCCAGCGCTGGCTGTTCCCTCCCCCTTCCCCAACGCTGGCTGTTCCCTCCCTCTTCCCCAACGCTGGCTGTTCCTCCCCCTTCCCAAAGCTGGCTTGTTCCCTCCCCCTTTTGGATGTTCCTCCCCCTTCCCCAGCGCTGGCTGTTCCCTCCCCCTTCCCAACGCTGGCTGTTCCCTCCCTCTTCCCCAACGCTGGCTTTTCCCCAAGCGCTGTTCGAGCTGGCTGTTCCCTCCCCCTTCCCCAGCAGCGCTGGCTGTTCCCTCCCCCTTCCCCAACGCTGGCTGTGTCCCTCCTCTTCCCCAACGCTGGCTGTTCCTCCCCTTCCCAGCGCTGTTCCCTCCCCCTTCCCAGCGCTGGTGTTCCCTCCCCCTTCCCAGCGCTGGCTGTTCCCTCCCCTTCCCAACGCTGGCTGTTCCCTCCTCTTCCCCAACGCTGGCTGTTCCCTCCCCCTTCCCCAAAGCTGGCTGTTCCCTCCCCCTTCCCCAGCGCTGGATTTTCCCCTCCCCTTCCCCAGCGCTGGCTGTTCCCTCCCCCTTCCCACGCTGGCTGTTCCCTCCCTCTTCCCCAACGCTGGCTGTTCCCTCCCTCTTCCCCAACGCTGGCTGTTCCCTCCCCCTTCCCAAAGCTGGCTGTTCCGCTCCCAGCGCTCCTCCCCCTTCCCCACGCTGGCTGTTCCCTCCCCCTTCCCCAACGCTGGCTGTTCCCCAACGCTGGCTGTTCCCTCCCTTCCCCAGCGCTGGCTGTCCCCCTTCCCCTACGCTGGCTGTTCCCTCCCCCTTCCCCAACGCTGGCTGTTCCCTCCTCCTTCCCCGACGCTGGCTGTTCCCTCCCCCTTCCCCAACGCTGGCTGTTCCCTCCCTCTTCGATCATATAGTGTAAAGCTGGGATTTTACGCTTGCATGCCCTTGCCATCATGAACCACATATCGGATGTGGTCTATGAGCAGTCGTGGTGAAGGTCTT